CCAAATATATAAAAGAACTATGAAAGATAAAAAAAGACAGACAACCCAATTTAATTTTTTAAAAAGTCATCAAAAGACTTAAATAGACACTTCACAAAAGGGGGTACCCAAATGGCAATGAACTTATGAAAAGAGGCTTAGCCTCACTAACTACCAGGGAAATACAAAATAAAACCATCACATCCATCATAAAGGATAAAAATGAAAAACAAGAAAATCCTGACAATGCAAAGTCTGAGTAAGTAAGTGCAGCAACTTAAGTTATCATGCAATGCAACAGCTAGAGCATCTATTTTGGAATATGGTCTGGTATTATTATCTACTAAAGTTGAACCTGTGATACTTAATGACCAAAAAATTCCATCCCATTTTATACCCACATAAACTCAAACACATGTATACCCAAACATGCACAAAATTTTCAAAGCAGCTTAATTTACCATAGACAAAAACCGGAAACAACCCAAATGTCCATCAACAATAGGTATATTTATCAAATGGGTACTAGAGATATTATACAGCATTAAAAATGAATGAACTACTGCTATATGCAACAAATGGATGAATCTCACAAACATAACATGGAGCAAACAAAGCCAGATACAAAATAACACAAGCTTAAGATTCTCGTCTTATAAAATTTAAGAAGAGCAACATTAATCACAGTAAGAAGAAGGGAAAATATGGTTGCTTTTGCAGAAATTGGTAACGATTTGGAGGGCATCAGAAAGACTCTTCCAGAGTGCTATAAATGTCCTACCTCTTGATCTGGATGGTGGCTAGTTACATGGGCATTTTTAAACTTGAAAAATTTCTCTGTACACTTATGGTTTGTGTACATCTCCTGTATACTTCAACTTTAAATTTTACTTTAAAAAAAATTGTTCTAGTGTGCAAACAAAGGAGGAAATAAGTAAAATATTAAAATCAGGATTTAATTCTTCAGAATCAGCTAGTAGATCCTTTTATGGACCTCAAAACCATTCTCCAGGAAGGCATGTTTAGAGATAAGATAACCACGTACATACGCCCTCCTCTAATCAAATGTTCATGTATGAGTTTCACCTTTGAGGAGATTACAGAGATGATTTAAACAAGACCCGATGTTCAGAGTTCGTAATCTGGTAGAAATTCAGTTGTTATGTTGAATAAATTTGACATTTTACTTAATTTTATTTATCTATTTGATACTTTTTAAGTTTACTTAACAAACCTGAATTCTAGCTACATAAAATGTGGTCCATTATCAGCTTTCTAATTTTTTTTTCTTTTTTAATTAAAATTTATATTGGGGTAACAATGGTTAGTAAAATTACACAGGTTTCAAGTGTACAATTCTGTAATATATCATCTATATATTGCATTGTGTGTTTACCACCCAGAGTCAGTTCTCCTCCCATCACCATATATTTGACCCCCTTGACCCACTTCTACTATCCTCCCCCCTCTTACCCTCTGGTAACCACTGATCTATTAACATCACTTCCTTTCTACAGTATTTTCACAGATTTTTCTACTGTCTGAAAGTTAGTAATGTGACTATAATAAACATGTTGAACAAGTTTTTCTCATGTAAGGTCTAATATGTGACTCTTGCTTGAATCTTGACTCACAGAAAGTATCTATTAAAAATACTTTTATGAGATCAGGAAAATTTGAATCTATTTGGATATATATTATTGAATTATTGTTAATTTTTTAGATGTGATAATGATATTATGATTATATGTTTTAACAGAGTCCTTATCATTTAGATATACATACTGATACAGATGAAACTATGACATCTGAAATTTCCTCCAAAATAATCCTGGGGAGGGGGGTGAGTGGACAGTGGGACACAGCTGATAAAAGTGACCTTGAGTTGATGAATGCTGTACTTGAACCACGGATGCAGGGGGGTGGGGGTGGGGTGTACTTGCACTGGTCTCAAAACTCTAGGGTACATTTTGTGTTATTCTCAAAATTTTAGGGTGCACTTTCAATTTTCCACAACAAAAAGGTAAAAACTACAGAAAAATGATTAATTTTAGAAGTCTCATCTAAGAAAAATGCTAGTGTGTTCTCTGGGCACAAGACATTTGTTTGCAAAATTCATGACATGTTCACCTGCATCTGCCGGTGCAGGATGTCATTGTCACAGAGAAACAACAAACTGTCAAATGCTGGTAGAAAAACAGGACATCACTGAAAAAATGAACATCACAACGTGGTAGGTATTTGTTTTCAACCACATAAAAGTGATGGCTCCCAAATCTTCATGGAGTGGTAGGAAATGGAAGTAGAATATAAGGTAATTTTTCTCTTAATGAATTACACTTTTACATAAGAACTACATAGTTTAAAGAATACTGGGATTCAGGACCAAGAAACTAAGGCTACTGTGTTAAGTAGCCTCATTTAATAGTGAAGGCTCAACTCCAAATACAGTATTATAATTAAATATTTTCTCATTACCTTAACATTATACTGAGGTTGAGAATTCATATAATCAAAAAGCAGCTGATAATTCTTGAACTGATGATCCCATTCCGTGCGTTCTGCGTAGCGGAAATCATCTCCTAGTGGGGCCAGGAGAACCGCGGTTCGGTAAAGCTTGGACTTCTTTCGGTACTGATCTAGAAGCATCTCAGCCCTTCAAAAGAAAAAAAGGGAAAATACAAATAGTATTCAGAAAAGAACAAGGGGGCAACTCATTAAAAAGTGTATTATGTTAAAAGAAATTACTGTATATTTTAAACTATGTTCGTTCTACATTAGTATGATTTATGAGGCAATTTTTTAAACTACCATGCTAATTTTCATTACCCATTTAAAATATTCATAAGTTCTTATCAGAGGGAAAAACTTAAGAGTTTTCCAAAGGATTACCCTTAGAGAAATAAAGTCACCTACGAACTTTGGCATATAGTTACTGGGGGCATCATCAATGCTCCAGTAAAGGCCAGCCAGAGAGACTGGAACCCAGATAGCCTGTGTTTTGAAATAATTTAGTCCAAGAAGACAATAAGGATTTCTCACCTAGAGGAACTTTCAAGTTTGCTTTGACTTAAGATCTCTTTCTCTAATTTAATCTAAAATTGCCTGATTAAACGTAAGTATAATTTTTTAAATGAAACCAGTTATAGAACTGTATTTCCTTTTCTAAAGGAAGAAAACCAACTCAATACCTGTCATCAATAATCTGAGTATTTGTCATGCTGTCCTTCTCAATACTGATCAAAGATACAGCTTAGGAGTTGACGGAGCTATTCTGGTTCACCTCCCTGGGCTCTAACCCATGACTCAAAAGGTCAGCTAAACACAATGCGCTGATATGTTTTTATTTCATATTCTACTATTCTGCAGAAAACCCTTTGGGAAATGCTGAATTGGGCACCACTTGAGGAAGTCTGAGAATGCAAACCAAGAGCAAGGGCTTGTGAAAATAAAGTTAAACAAGGGGATGAACTAGAGTAGTTCTCCATGTTTATAAGGCCAAAGCTTAAGAAATTAATGATAAATGACACATATGCTTTTCACCTAGTATTCCAATTTTCCCTTCAAGGACTATCCAAAAGTACATTCCAATGTACAATGTAAAACCTTATCAAGAAACTCAAAGAACATCAATGACAGAAAGAGGCATTTTACAGAAATTATGAAAAAAACACTTAGCTAAATTGAGAATTTTATATGATCTTTTTATATTGATAGTCTCTGAAATTGCTTAAGTACTAAATTATTAGCAAAAATTTAATAACTTGGTAAAATATAACTGTAATATTCTTATATAACATATAATGCTTAGCTTTCTGAGATTAGCATTAGGGGAAAGTCCTTAATTTTTACTAGTAATTTACTAATATTCTATGTTTACCAAAAACAATTTTGGATTATCACTTACATTTAAAAAACATGCATACAATGAGAATAATCACATAAGACCAAAATAAATAACAGAAAAAGAAAAAAAATATATATATATATAATTACAAATATAAGATATATTATGACTAAGCATTCAACTAGATCCCTCAGGCAACCAGCATAAAAAAAGATATGCAATCACTTAAATGCATACCAAGGTTTACTACTAGATATACCATATCTTGCATGCACGTGTATAAAATACATAAGAGGAAAGAAATCACAAACATTAATGATGTGCCTTTTCCATTCAGTATCTATCCTAACTCTCAAGCTCCTGCTCAGAAACTGTCAACACTGGGAAAACAAACGAACCAACCTACACCACCTGGCAGGCAGTAGATACTCACTAAATACAGAGGATGCCAAAAACATGTATACACATTTTAAGAAAGGTGAAAACTATTAAAATTGTAATACTCAATATATACTGATAACAAAAGATGAATACAAGTCATGTTTGACTTTTGCAATTACAAGAGGTGCTTAAAGTGGTTACCATTAGTGTCCAGACACTTCTGATTACGGCGAACTACTGCTTGAGAAACGTCGACCAAAGTGTCCACTTGCATACATTTTTTTGGCACCCCCGGTATATGGTAAACTAATTATGAATGAATTGACCCACATCACATTTGAAGATGAGCAGCTGCAATTTGCTCTTCACTTATTCTACCAGGTAAGAAATGTATACTTAACTAGAACCAAGAAAAATAAATAACTCCCTGAAATATGAAATCATCTGACATGTAAGTCATCATCATAGGTAAAATACATAGTACTAGACCAAATACTGAACTTGATGAAGAATGGTATTTATTTACAAAGTAGAGAACCTGCTGAACTGAATGTATCAAATGTGTCACTTATATATTCTAGTTAAATATTTCATTTTCTTTTAGGTATTAAAAAGTCAAGTTCTGCTAAGCTGGAATGCTTGTGTTTGATCTCCATTCATCACGAAGTCAAAGGAAGCTGATATTTAGATGAAAAGTAACAAGCAGGGTTAAGACTTATAGGAAGTTTTTTAAAAATCAACATGAGTATTACATATATTCATTCATCTGTGTGTCCCCAGGTGCCTGGAAGCCATTCTCAGAATCACTGGAACTGACTGACCACAAAACATGTTTTTGGAAGCAATCTTTAAAGGGTTAGATGGCACAGCAAGATGATTACACAATATAGCTCTCTGGAACGCTCCACAGCACCCAGAAGAGAAAAAAACGGGCCTTACAATACCTACGGGTGCACTGGGAATCCCCGATTGAAGTATCTGGCTATCCTTTAAACAATTCCCTATCCCTGACCACTTGAGCTGAGAGAAGTAGTATAAATACCCAATTCAGTGAAAAACAACTATTTTCCCAAATAGACAGGCAAGCTACCTCGCTTCCTTTTCACTATACCTTTCGTTACATAATATACTGAATTATTCTCTCCTGTCTAACTCACCTAACCCTGAAAACAGGCTGTTTAATGTTCCTCACCGATTCTCACTGCTGTAGGAACCAACAAAGTGAAACCAGGTCGATCTCTATAACCTTGGACAGTTTTTCAAAACAACTATGAAAGTCAGATTTTGATAGAAAGGATCCATGGCTTCCAGAAGGAGGCCATGCTAAAATCCTTTTGTGTCTGCCACAGTGAGAGGTTCACACTGGAACATTTTCTTTATGACCCACGTGGACTCCCTGAAGGCAAAGAGACCCAATCTCACCTTCCTCCTCACACATATTTTTTTAAAAGTAAATTTTTATAAAATAAATAGAGTTGATAGAGCACAGTGCAAAGATCTTACTTCATTTAAAAAAAGGCTGTATTATTTTTCTAGCAGAGTTGAGTGGCTTTATATTACAACATGATGTTTTATTTTAATGCATTATAGGCCACTAGCTTTTAAGTGGAGAAATTAATTTTTAAAACCACCAAAATTAGAACTATATAGGTAACTTGGTTCAATAATTCCATCATTAGCACAATTTCTTTTTTTTTAAATGACTCATTCCTTTGTTTTTATTTAAATATCTTTAAGTATAAATACTCCTAATTAAAGTTTCCTGTAAGTGAAAAACATCAGAAAGATGCAAAGATGTATCAGCAAGGCTGGGCAGCGTTCACTATTATTGAAACTGCTATTAAGAGAACAGATAACTACACTCTATGTGTTCCATTTCGATAAATGTGTTTTTGCAGTAGGTTGCTTTTCTTACCAATTTATACAAGAGAGACCAGAAGTTTTATTATCAACAAAAGTATATGAAATCAAACACAGTAGAAGGCTTTTGTATTGAGGGTGAAAGAAATGGTAATAACAGTGCATGTTAGGTTACCCATTGTATACTGACCTTCTATTGTTCACTTTCCATTAAGCCATGACATAAAAGAGGCATCGCCAAGGCTCTTACTTTTAAGTTGCGTTAGATTTGGTTTGAATGAATACCTTGAATGAGGATAATGTTGGCTCCTGAAGCCCATTTACTCAGCTCTTCAGCAATAAGCACCTAATGATGGCTTATTCAAGATGTTGTCTTATGAAATGCGTCTTTTCATACCTGTTTTGGACATTTCCAGGGTATATTGTTTCTGGGGGGACTCCCCAGGGACAACCAAATCTGCCTCCAGGAAGTCGTTTAAAATCAAACTGGCAGCATATTTTAGGATCAGGTCCACAAGTGTGAGGGATGTCATAGCTGTAGAAAGGCATCATGTGGCAAAAAATATCTGTGCCAGATCCCAGATCTAAAATAAAGAGCCAACAGACAAACCTGCATTTATAAACTTCATTTTCCCAAAACCATTCAAAATGCCAGTACTTTATACACACACAATGCCGAGCTCTGCCCTAAATCAACATCCTTTTAATTCCTAGTACATATATCCCACAGCATTGAATGACCACCAGCCTGAGGGAAATATACCTCAGTCTCTATCTACCTCTTATATCAAAATTTAGCAGGAACAGAAAAGCCCTATCATGAACCAGCATCTGCTGATCTAGAAGGATACAATGGAACAGGAGCAAAATTTCTAACCAGCTCAACCAAAATTATGGCTGTGTCCATCCCTGGCTGCCAGCTCCTGCCACACTGTTCCCACCTCAGGTAACAGAACACACTGAGAGAGACCATGAGCTGCAGAGTCTGGGTGAGAAGAGAGGAAGGGAGAAAACGGGGTACCTGAAAGAACAAAGGAAGAAGGGGGGGTGGAATGGCTTGTGAAAACACTGGGTAAATTCCTATCCTCTTCTTGCAGTTAGAAGAAGGAAGTACAACCAGGAGAGTTCAAGGAGCCTCTTCGATGTTGACCAAGAAAGAGTCAATGGGACTTTTCACCAAGAAAGGAACATAGAAAAAAATTTTTGAAAATCAAAAACAAGAATAAAAACAAGCATACCAAAAAGACAGAGAAAACAAGCGCTGATCCCTGTTGCAGAATTGTTTTTAATTAAAACGGCAGTGCCAGCATGTGTTGATCTATCTGCCCCTGAGTTCAGAAGTCAGAGTGAGATGGGAGGGCTTAACTAGGAGCTAAAAGTGGTTATCTTTGTATGAGCCTGACCTGTAAATGGCTCCCTGCCTTTAATTATGTATGGATTTCCAACTTTCAGGAATGAGCATGCATTGTTTTCATAACAAAGACAGGCAAAGGAAATAACAACAAAAAACAACATTTAAATTTTAAAATGAAAATAGCTACTTCATTAAGAATACACAAAGAAGCTCAACTTAATTCCAAAACACAGTTTTAAAGCAGCATATTCAAATCTGTCGGATAAATTCTCAAATATTTCAGTTTTGCCTCACGCCCCATTTAGTTTAAATAATTATTAGATCTTTCCCAAATGTTAAAGCTATTATATTCTGTATTATTTCTGTGCTGTCAGTTGTTTCACTGAATCACATTCATGAGTGTGACACCATGGATGCTGGTCACTAATGCTTGCTAACCTGCACAGAGATTGTCACAAGTCCCAGAACTAATGGAACTCTTCCTCCTCCTTTCTTCTGTGCTCAAGGATGTTCTCAACACCCCACTATTTCTCCTCACACCATACTATTTAGCAGCTCATTTACACATTTCAGTTTATCTGCTGCATTTGGTGTTATTTGTCTTTCATCAAATTAGACTAATTTCCTTATAGCCAAAGATGTTTTCTATATTGCTTCCTAGCATAGTAATAACTACATAAAAGTACTTGGTAATTTCTTGATGACTAATAGTTACGGGCAATAGTTTAAGTAGGGCTTCTTCAAATTAACAATCTTTTTTTTTTTTTTTAATATGCTCCTTTGCATTTGATCGAACTATACAGGATGCAACCCTCTACAAGTTCTTATTTTCCCTACAGGTTTAATCTTCCAAAATAAAGTATAGCTAATTTCTCTCTTTATTTAAAAAACAGCATTATATACAAGGAAGTTACTATCTAGATCACCATATAATTTTTCTGAAACACTAAAGAGGGTCTAGATTACACAGAAAAGCAAGCACGATATAATGCAGTAATTTCTAAACATTGTTTTAGAAATTAAATCCTTTTTCCAGATGAAACGTGATTGAAGACTCAAGATTGGGAAGGCAGTGTATGCCAAGAGTTAGGAGCCCAGGCTTCAGAATTGCACAGAATTGGATTCAAATCTCAGCTCCATACCTTCTACCTCTGTGACCTAGCAAATGTCTTCACATTTCTAAGCCTCCATTTCTTCACTATGTAAAAGAGATAATAAATCCTAATTTAAAGGATTATTTTTAAGATCCAATGAGACAGTGAATATCAGGCATATAACATAATGCATGACCCCTAATAAAGATTCAACAAATAAAAAAATGAGTTAAAAAATAAGGTGTTCTGAATTTTAAATGGAGGTGGAAAAAGCAAAGGCTTTCCAAGAGGCCTAAATCTTGTCTCTTCTCCCCCAACAAAGAGCTGCAGAAGTATGTCCCTGGAATGCTGGGGTGCCCACAAAACACAGTGCAAAAACAAGCAATATAGTTAATATGAGAACTGTTCTAGGAGGACAGGATTAAGGTTTTAAAAGGGAATTTTTACTAGATGCAGACAGGAGAAACAGAAGGAAGAAACACTTGGCTGAATATAAGATAAATGACTTGATATAGTTTTAATGCATGTTCAGTTTTGTGATAAAACAGGTGTTTTTAAAAATAGAAGTGAAAGCCTTATTTGCAAAAGACTAACTCCTTATATTTATTTATTTTCTTTAGGCATAAAAAAGAATCTACAATGTTCTATAGATAAATATCTTCACCATTGCTTAAAAGAATTTTGATAGAAATGCATTGTAAAAATAATAAGAATGTGTATCTTTCGGCAACCAGATTTCAAGACTGACACTCTGAATACAACCCATAATGGCATGAGATCATAACCCTTGCGAAATAATGTCTAGGTCAAGTGAGATCTCGTCAAACACAACATACCCCAATTCTGTCTCCAAAAAAACTCCAGTGTTTTATGCGTTGCAAAATGTTTCTTAATTGAATAATGAATCCTCTGGACAAGCATATGAGAAAATCCAGCACGTTTTAGAAGGTAAGCCATTGTTGGTGAATGTCCAAAAGGATCAATAGCCCAACCAGACCGAGGTTTCACTCCTGTTGATTAAGAAAATAAGTGTTAATTTTTTTTTAATTGACAAGTAAAATAAAAGAAAGTCCCACCACATTCAGACTCATCAGAGTTCTATGGTCTCCAGAGTTCTAAGACAAAGGAGCTGCCCAGCATTACCTTTAAGAGCACTCCCAACAGGGCTCCCTAAAAAGGGAGGATTCAGACAAGGCGATGTCCTCCCAGGCAGGAGAAATCACACCAGAAGTTAATCCCTTAGAGCTGAAACAAGCACCCTGCCATCTTATAGACATTAGAAAGCTACTGCCATTCAATGACGCTAGAGAAATAAACAGAATCAAGTCCTCCGTCTCGGATCTGTTTTCTGAAGCCGGATAACCCAGCAATTTGCTGTTATGTAATAAAGACAAGTAAGCAAACTCATTTCAACCTGTACTCCCCAATCCCAGCATTCAGAAATTTTTAGGCTGCATTTTATTCCTTACAGCTGCTCCAAGTCATCTTATTATACAGTTGCAGAACTGGCCAAAATAACTGTACCGTATTTCACTAAATATTGAGATATTTTGATGCCGGTGCTTCCTTTCTACCTAGACGATGTCAACAAAATTTTTCACACCTGACTTCCACCAATATTAACAGCCATCAACTAAAGGTATACCTCAATTTCACAGAGGATAAAATGCAAAAAATAAACAAATGCACAGATTAGAATTGATAAGATTATTCATTTGGCATTATATAAATCGAATCTTTTATTTTTTTTAAAGATTCTCACCAATGGACAGATCCTCCAGACAGAAAATCAACAAGGAAACAGTACAAAATCTGAACCAACCAATTACTACTAAGAAAATTAAATCAGTAGTAAAAAACTCCCATCACACAAAAGTACTGGACCTTATGGCTTTACAGGTGAATTTTATCAAACATTCACAGAAGAATTAACACCAAAAAATTCAAGAGGAGGCAAAGCTCACAAGCTCATTTTACTAGGCCACCATTACCCTGATTCCAAAACCAAAGACATTACAAAAAAAGAAAATTATGGGCTGATAAACATAGATGTAAAAATCTTCAACAAAATACTAGCAAATCAAATTCAGCAATACATTAAAAAGATCCTACACCACAATTAAGTGGGATTTATTCTTGGGAGGAAAAGTTGGTTCAATATCTGCAAATCAATTAACATGATACATCACATAAATAAAATGAAAGATAAAAATCATATGATCATATCAATAGATGAAGAAAAAGTGTTTGACAAAATCCAGCATCCATTTACAATAAAAACTCTCAGCAAAGTGGGAAGAGAAAGAACATACCTCAACTTAATAAAGGCCATATACGACAACCTATAGCTAACATTATACTGAATGGGGAAACGCCAAAAGCAGTCTCCTTAAGATTAGGAACAAGATAAGGATTCCTACTTTCACATCTTTTATTCAAAACATTATTGCAATTCCTAGCCACAGTAATAAGACAATAAAAAGAAATAAAAGGCATCCAAATGAGAAAGGAAGAAGTAAAACTGTCATTGTTTGCAGATGACATGATACTAGGTATAAAGAACCAAAAAGATTCCACCAAAAAACTATTAGAAATGATAAATTCAATAAAGTAGCAGGATACAAAATTAATATTCAGAAATCAGTTACATTTTTATACACCGATAATGAACTGTTAGAAAGAGAAATTAAAAATACAATTCCATTTACAATAGCATCATCTAGGAATAAATTTAACCAAGGAGGTAAAAGACCTGTATTCAGAAAACTATGAGACAATGAAGAAAGAAACTGAAGAAGCTACAGATAAATGGAGGCATATACCATGCTTATGGGTAAGAATTATTAACTTCATTGAAATGTCCATACTACCCAAAGTGATGAACAGATTCAATGTAATCCCTATCAAAATACCAATGATATTTTTCACAGAACTAGAACAAATAATCTTAAAATTAATATGGAACCCCAAAAGACCCCGAATAGACACGGCAACCTTGAGAAAGAATAAAATTGGTGGTCTCATGCTACCTGATATCAAACAAGGTTTTAGTAATCAAAACAAAATGGTACTAGCATAAAAACAGATACACAGATCAACAGAATAGACTAGAGAGCCCCCCCCAAAAAAACCTGTACATAATCAAATGGAAATAGTCTCCAAAATAACATGTTGTTGTAAACTGTTTATAAAACAAAATTGAGAACACTAATTTTAACCAAAGCTACAATAAGAAAAACTCCATATTCTCAAATGTGTCCATTATCTAAATGTAAGAGTTAAACCATAAAACTCAGAGAGAAATACACAGGAATAAGTCTTCATGACCTTCAGTTAGAAATGGTTTCTTAAAAATGACATCAAAAACACAAGTGACAAAAGAAAAAATAAACTGGATTTCATCAAAATTAAAACTTTTGTTTATCAAAGCATACCTTCAAGAAACTGAAAAGACAACCCATACAATTAAAAATATATATATTTGCAAATCATTATCTGACAAGGAATTTGTATCAAGAATATATAAAGAATTCTTACAAGTCAACAATGAAAAGACAGAGAACCCAATTTTAAAAGTAGGCAAATGACTTGAATTGAAATTTCTCCGAAGATGATATATAAAGAGCCAATATACACATGAAAATATGCTTAGCATCATTAATCTTAGGGAAATGCAAATGAAAGTCATAATAAAATACCATTTCACACACACTAGTATAGCTAAAATAAAAAAAAAAGAAGACAATAACAAATGTTGAGAATGTAGAGAAAATAGAAACCTCATACATTGCTGTTCGGAATGTAAATAGCGCAGCCATTTTGGAAAACAATTAGGCAGCTTCTCAAAATGCTAAATATAGAGTTATCATATGACCCAGCAATTCCACTCCTAGGGATATACCCCAAAGAAATGAAAACATACGTCCTCACAAAAACTTACACAAATGTATATAGCAGCGTTATTCATAGTAGTCAAAAGGGGAACTATCTACATGTTCATCAACCGAAGAATGGATAAACAAATGTTTATCCAAACAAAATATTACTCAGGTATCAAAAAGAATGAAGCACTGATACATGCTATTATCATGGATGAACTTTAAAAACATCATGCCAAGGGGGTGGGAGGGCAGTGGATGGGGGGAGGGGGGTTGTTACTTTGTGAGGGTGAAAAGGGTAACTATTGCATTGTTTTGTACACCTGAAGCTAACAAAAAAAAATAAATAAATAAATAAATAAATAAATAAATAAATAAATAAATAAAAAGAAAACATCATGCCAAGTGAAAGAAGCCAGTCACACAAGCCACGCTGTATGATTCCATTTATGTGACATGTCCAGAACAGTCCAAGCCATATGTATAAAAAGCAGATGAGTGGCTGCCTAGGCCTGAGGCAGGGAAGGGAGGAGTCAAAAAGACTTGTGACTATTAATGAATAAGAGATTTCTTTTCGGGGTGTTGAAAGAGTCCCCAAAATAAATGGTGGTAATGGTTGCACAACGCTGTGAATACACTAAAAACTACTGAACTGTACACTTTAAATGGGTGAATTTTATGATATGTGAAACAATACAGTTACAAGAAAAAAACTGATGCTGAGCAAAAGCAGCCAGATCCAAAAGAGTTAGTCCATACAGTATATGAAGCTCTTAAATAGGCAAAAATAATCTACAGTGATAGAAATCAGAAAGCAGTTGGCTCCCGAGGGAAAGCTCAAGAGAATATGGACCATTCTGGAGTGATGAAAATGGGGGTTAAATGGGTCCATACATTTGTTAGAACTGAAACTCTACAGTTAAGATTCCTATGTTGCACTGCATATAAATTATATATTGGGTTGTTGGAAAAGCCATGACGTATTTTTTCTATGTTTTTCGTTGCAAAAATGCGTCATGACTTTTCTGACAATCGAATACTAATAAAAGCTAAACATAAAGACAAAATCCACAAAAACCGAGGTTTATAAAGTGAATATTCTTAGCTTAGAATATTTTTGGCTTAGAAAAGTGGCACTGTGTAAGGAGTCTCCAAGTCCACCCCCCTGTTGAGTGGTTTGCTAAGAAACTTTACAGGACTTGGAATACAGTTTTACTCACAGCTATGATTTATGACTGTGGAAGGATGCAAAGCAAAAGCAGCAAAGGCAAAAGGCACATAGGGCACAATCCACAGGAAACCAAGCATAAGGCTCTAAGTGTCCTATCCCTGTGGACTCATACAGGACAAGTTTAATTCCACCAGCACCAAAACGTGACAACATGAAATGGTATCAACCAAGGAAGCTCTTGAGAGACTCAGTGTCCAAGGGGGCTGGTGAAGTAGACACCCCTCTGCCTAGTACATACTGAGATTCTAGACTCCAGGAAGAAAACAAGTATTTAGCATAAACTACAATGTTTTTACAAACAATTTAAACACAGCAAGCCACTTTCAGCATTTAGCAAAATCGAAGCCCCCAAGCACCAGCCAAAGGCCCAACTTGTAGGCAAGACTTTTCTAAGTATAGCAGTTTCAGGTCTATGTTATCTTTTTTCTGTTCAGGTATGACATCTGCAACTTACTCTAATAATAACAACAATCTCAACACCATGAAAAGAGAACAAAATAAAGCAAATATGCAGAAATTTTAATAATTGGTGAATGTGGTTGAGAGGTTTATGGAAGCTCTTTATAGTATTCTTACAGCTTTTCTTTAAGTTTGAAACTATTCCAAAATAAAAAGAAAAAAATTAATGGGAACGGCAGGGATTTTATCTCTAACACAGAAAAAACATTTTAAATAATAAAATATCTAGAATGAACTTCAATAAAAAAACATGCTTCTTACCATACAGAACTACAAAACTGAACTGAGATATGAAATATTTATTTATTTATGTACTTATTTTTAGAGGAGCAAAGATTTTTATTGGAGCGAAAGTACAGCTTTCTTACAAGAGGGGGTACCTGAAACTGGAGGCCCCTTGATATGAAATATTTAAAAGGAATTACATACCATGTTACACAATGCGAACATTAGCTATCACAAAGATTTCAATTAGCCCAAGTCCCATGTTCCCATGAGTTGTAGCGAACATCTGATTTCATCAGTGCAGCTTCCCCGTTCCCACTTCTTGTGATACCAGTATCCCTCCTTCACCACAGAGGACCCATCCATCCACGTGGCTCAGGCAAGGCGGACCCTGCCCTCCATAGGCCCCTCTGCCCCATGATCATTTCCACCAAACTGACCAGGCCTCTGTGATTTCCGCTCCTATACTTCTGGCCACAGTAACTGGCTCAGAAATAAGCACCTGACTCAAATTGGGCAAACTGGGTAAGGTATTAAAGGAAAACTCCTCCTCCTGTTGTTAGACTGGGAAGATGAGAGTCCTAATTGCCTATGGCCACCTTACTCACCATGTGAAGGGATCCGGGAGAGGACTAAAGCCAGGCAAAAATACACAGAGACAGAAGAGACAGCGCCCAGACAACAGACTTTGAGTCCCCTGGATCCAACCTTACCTGAAAACACCTTATATCTGGAATTCTCAATGACAAAACTAATACCTATCTTTCCTTTTATCCCCCTTAAACTAGTAAATTAGGTTTTTGCCTTTTTATGACCAAGAGTTTTTATTTATGCAACTAAAATCCCAGTGGGGTATTTTTAGGAAAATAAATTCTAATAAAAATAATAGGTAAAATTAATAGATAAAATAATGCATTAAACAAGGTATATGACCCTAAAAGTGCCCTATTTTATTTATGTAACTCAGTTGATGATCAAAGAAACATCATAAATTAATGAAGGATAAATTACTCAAAAATAATTAGTATTGGGAAAATTAATTATTTAAAAAAATAAAATAGAGCGTCACCACACATTCCCCAAAATTAACTGCCCCAAGTAGTCCAAGTGAAGAGAGAAGACATCAATACATACCTAGATTTTTTTCTAGCCACTCATGTCCTTCAATTAGTTGGTCAATTAAGGCAAAGTAATGTGCAGCAGCTTCATCAGGCATAACCCAGCCACCTGTCACAACTTCAAACTGACCATTTTCTAGTAAACTAGGGAGACAATAAAGTAAGAGTTTACATTAACATATAAGAGAAGCTCAACTTAAAAACGACATAAACATTAGGAACAGCCTTTAAATATAACCAATATTTATTACACTAGTTGTTAAACCATTTTTTTTTAATTCAGTGAATGAATGTCAACTTTAGAACTCTGGTGATAAAACATCATTGGTAAACTGTCTGAAATGATCCCTCCTCCCTAGGCAAAGCCCTGTAGGTCACTTGGGAAGCTTCTTTTCATAAAGTTATAATATCCTACACAACCTCAAAGGTTCCTGATGACCAGAGACACATGGGATTTATTTCTAAATCTTGTAGGGTGCCTAACAAAGTACTTTACACAGAGCATACGCATGATGAGTGTTTACTGATAACTGTCATTTTAAGCGTGATATTTGTTTCAATACCTTTATATTGAAAAATCAGTATTTATTTTAGTCCTTCTGACACTGGTAAGTTAATCGTGCAAAGTATACAAAAGTAACAACAATAAAGGTAAAACTGGTAAATATCACATGCCTCTGGGAATACAGAAAACATTATAAAGCACTTTGCTCCAGACACAGTTAAAATGTAGGCTATATAGTTTATTTTTCATTATTGAGTGGAAAGCTCTAACATTATCATTATCCATCCATTAGGTACTCTTTTGCCATAATTCCGTACAAGGTAACTAGATCTCCAGCCCTAGAAAAATTGAGTTGTTACAAGAAGATATCTTCCTCTGTAAAGGAAAAGAGATATATCAAAGTACTAAAAATTTGAAGAAGTACCTGAGAAAGTATAAAAGTCAAGAATTTAAGGAAACATTTTAAGTGCCACAGACTTGTCAGTTTACAATACGATGGTTTGAAAAATGGAGTAAAATTTCAGAAAGAAAGGGGACTTTAATAAGGATACACATCACTGGATACCTACCGCTAACAGCCAATTACCAAGCCAAATTTAATTGAAGCCGACCAGGAATTTTAAAGATAAATATTTCCCTACAAAGCTTATAACAGAAGCCACAGCTTTAACTAAACATCTGATTTATTCAAACATATGCATGATCATATAACCAGTGACAGAGTGGATAATGGACACAATTACTAAAAATGAATGAATGAATAATTCCTTGTATAAAATTTTAAAATGTTAATTAAATCTGTATTGCCGTGGGAATCACCAATTAATGTAATTTCACACAGAGAATATGATGGCTCATTATGGTGTCTAAAGAAACCCAAATATCCAGTCAAACCTCAGATTCTTAAAGGCCCAAATGAAGAACTTATAATAAAGAAGCTGGAAATTTCTAAAAATTGCATTTCTAAATGCAACTAATCCAAGACTATTTTGTCCGGCTCTTACTGCCAATGAGACTTTGCTTCTATTTGGTTCTTTCTCTTATCTTGCTGGTGATTACCTGATTTAACTACACTCTGGAGGCCATGGCCCAGACCAACCTTTTACGCCTTATGGCCAATATTTGGAAGCCTGAGATGTCAGGACAGATTTGAGATTTAATCTCTGGCCATCAACTATAGAAACCTGACCTCCCTATCTCAATATCCCAATACACAGAGCTCTTGGAAAATTTCAGACATAAATTGGTTTAAAACAAATTCGCTGCAGCTCTTAAACAGAAAATAGAAACTACAGGTAAATTAAGAAATCTGAAAATGAAAATGATAAGTCACTCCAATGATGGAATTTTTCATCTACATCAGTTTTATTTGACTACATAATCCCAGTCCCATAGGCATGAATGTGCTCCAAGAAACAGCCAACCTAGCAAAGAATCACACATACTATATGCAGCAACTGATTTCCCCAGCTCCATTCATGACTAACCCAGCTCTTTCCCTCCCCATGACGCCTGACATGCTACTGTGACCCTGTACTGAGCTCCTATCTGCGCATAATGGTTACTTTAAAGACTATCCTGCCTATTGTTTGGGGGGAGGCATACGGAGCCTCCAACTCATTAAAATGTTTTCCAGAATTTTCTTAACTACTGACTTTTTTTCTCTCCTATGTTTCTCATCCTGGGTGGTCCCAGCTGTCCTGATGTCTCAACTTAAAAAAACCTACCAGGAAAAGTATCCCTGAGCACCTAGCTTAAATCAACAATCCCACTGTATCCCCACATTCTATCACACATTAGCATTTATCACAAACCAAAATTACTTTATTAACTTATATGTCTCTTCTCACTTCTTCACCCCACCCACCATTAGGATTCTTCTGTTCACTTTTCCACACCCAGCACTGAGAAGCTTACTTGGAATATAATGGGCACTCTAGTAGTTGTTAGATGAATAAGGAAGGAAGGAATGAGACTCTCAGTTTAAAATTGCATTTACTTAAAGCTTTTATATTAAACTCACAGGCATATGTAAAGCTAATTGCACCGGAAAGGCCAGTTAGAAAGGAGTTAAATAATCTAGGTATGAGATGATGTGACCTAGAATATGGTAGTGGTAGGAAACATGGAAGGTAAGGAAGAAGAGAGAGTTCTCATGAAAAGCATCAAGGGAATAAAAAAATGACTAGAGACAGAAGAAAGGATTAAAGCACATATGCTTGAGGTTTTAATTCCAGGTGTCCATTGGGGTGGTAGTATTAATGCACACAGTGGGGCTAAACTGAGAAGGAAAATTGAGAAATTTTAAAAATACTTATATTATTAAAATAGCCATCAAATTAGTGGGAAAGAATGAATTATAGTTTTTGTGTTGTTTTTTAACTTCAGAGTGATTTAAAACAAGCTCATAAGAAAGCCACAGTATGATGTGATGGAAGCCAGGGGACTAATATTTTGAAAGAGCATATTGTTGTATAAGAAAAATTGCATGAGTAATTTGTAACAGGCATAAATGACGGCATCAATCATAGCAGGCCAGAAGGAACACAGGTTTTAGTTTTTCTTGGCATAACAGGCAGAACAATAAACTAATGAAAAAAAACCAGACAACATGATTTAAAATATGAAGCAATGTGACAATGACTGGACACCTGGCTGAATAATCAGATTAGTTAGTACCCCTATTTAATTGAACTACCTGTTCTTCCTAGTCTATCCCTCTTTGAACCATAAATAAGAATGGCAAAAACCAGCTGATAATCAAGCCAGAAGATTCTTCCAGGCAGGAAAACCAGAAATTGCAGAAGTACACAACTTTGCAATGTATATTACCTGTATTCCAGAACATATGTGGTAAGCATTTAAGAAGTATCTGATGAATGAGAGAAAAACAAAAAGATCCAAAGAAACATAAGGAAAATTGTTCATCTAATGACTGGGAAACACAGCAATGATCATCATCATTTAGTGACGGATACAAAAAGTAGGACCGGCAGTCTTATAGAAACACCACCTCAGGAAACAGTTGAAAAAATATTTGGAAGCAATAACAGAAAAGCTGTTAGACTACAAAAAAGGTACCATATTTAAAATCGTTATTGTTAGTAAGCAATATGATGAAAACAAAATTAAAACATTTCAACTGTACATTCGGGACTTTAATAATTTTTTAAAAATCAAGTAAGTAATGGGAATACAGTTGCTTCCAAATATTTCCATTCATTCAGTGTTCAACAAGCATTAGCTGAACTAATTCTCTGTGAGAGGGAAATACAAAATCAAAAAAGATGTGCCCACCCTGTAGGTTGCTTAGTTTCTACCAGGAGACTCTCTGATTTCTGGCAAACTTTTTTGCATGTACACTTTCCCTAATATTGCCTAATAAACATGAGATCTAGAAGCAAAATACCTGGAAGCCAAGGAAAAGGAGTATATGTATAATGTAGCAAATCCAGAAAACAGGAAACTAGGCACTAACTTTCAAAATTAGCAACACTCCTTTTTCACTTTTTAAAATAAATGACTTGTAATTACTGGTGAAGACATTATGTATCTCCATGTTTCTACTGTTTCATTGCTGGGGAATTTGGTATAAAAAGCTTAGAAAATAACTGATCAAAATATCTGTCACAGCTCACTCTGTGTAAGATGCATGATTTACACTTAAGAATTTACTGCCAAGTACAAGAAGCTGCAAATCATTTTGTAAGTGTCACTTTTTCCCCTATGTGGATTCATCAGACATTTGGAATTTGGTCACACATAGAAAGATAGACTATTCAAAGAGTTGTTCTCCCTAATGGGGAAATTGTTACAGATAACTTAGTAGCAAACAATGCATCATTTAGTGAACTTCAAAAAATCACAAATTAATTTCACATGAGAAAACGAGTTGAATTTGTAATCACACATCTGGGGAAATATGAAATAATACAAGATGATGTACAGGGATTCATTCCTAAATAAAAAAAATTGTTAAATGGAAAATTAAAAAAGATGGAGGCTTCCAATGAGTCAATTAATAGCCTAAGGACATTTGCTTATCACATAATCTGATTCATATGCCTTTCTTAGGGAGTATCTAACATGAAGGTAAAAATAAGATTTGTTTTAAAACCCTTCACATGATAATTGGGGAAAATCACTGAATATTGTTGATGCCTGTCTTTGAAGATTTAGTATGAGGAACAGATGGTACATTTGTCATCTCTCACCATTTCTTCCTCACATCATTCCAGCCATACCCGCTTCTTTCAGTCCCACCGTCCATGCTCGTTCTGCCTGCAATGCTTGCCCCTCCCAATATTTGCTCTAATGGATCTATTAGGAGCCTTCCCTGGCTACCACATCTCACCCAAACTGTCATCTTTCATAAAATCCAAAACTTTCTTTCGTAGCACTTATCACAAAATTTAATTACACATTTGTATGTTTAATTTTTCCTTCAAATTACTGTAAACTCCACGAGGATAGGAATCACACATGTTTTCTGGCCATTTAAGTCTGTGTTCCTATTACCACAAAACGCTTAGAAAAGGGTACTGATAACCCAAAAGAAAAAAAAGAAAAAAAAAGAATACGGAGCAGATTATTTCAGGAATAACTGGCTCCTATAAATGAAAAGAAATTTAACCTCACC